GAATTTTTGAAGTACAACAGAATTATTGAAGAACATTGTCAGAACAGTCAGTCAAAAAGTTCTCCCACAGTTCTGAGAAAACTCAACTCTTGCAGAAATCTCTTCTCTTTGACAAAACTACGCAGTAACTCCGTAATTCAGAAAACTAATTGAGAAACCCCCATAGGATTCAGCAAAATCCTGCAGGTTCTGGCAAAATTCTGAGAAAACTATGCCAGTTCGGAGAATATTTCTCCATTATTCTGTAGCATTTGCCATAATTCTGCAAAATTCTAGCGAAATTCTGAGAATTTTCATAGAACCTGCAGGACTTTGCTGAATCCTGTGAGGGTTTCTCAACTAGTTTTCAGAATTTCAACAGAGTCTTCACAGCATGGTTTTGTTATATTGTTATATCGCAGTAGAAAATGCTGCTAAAGTGCTGCTGCCCTTAAGAATAAAAGGCAAATATCAGTATTTTTTGAGCACCACATTATTCACTCATTTATTAAAAAATAATATCTTCGTAAAAGAATCATATAAAAATCAAAACATTATTTTTCTATTGTTTTCTGCCATCATATAATGTCTTTGGTTCTGTGTTCCTGTTTATTTGTCACAAATTCTCCTAAACTTATAGATTGATTCCTCATGGTGTTTGTATTTGCTGAAAGGTTTTGTAAATAGATGAAAAATAAAGTTTTTTATTTCTTGTACCACAAAAATAATCTATATTAGGCCTAATTAATCTCTGATAACAAACATAGTGTTGTGTTAGTGATAAACTTTTGTGAAAAAGAAACCGAGATCTCATCCATGTTTTTTATCCAATTAACTGAATTGAGATCTATACTTGTATATTTTTTCTGAGATTCATTCCATGATTTTGAAATAAAAATATCTATTTTTAAAAATCGAGATCTTTTCCGTGTTTTTTTATGTAACTAAGTCAATCGAGATCTAATCCTCGATATTTCCGAGATGTTTTCTCGTTTTGTCCTAACTGTTGTTGTTATTCGTTCATTTGTTCATATGCCGCACGTTTTGTCAATTTTACAAGCTCAGCTTCTAATTTCTCATTCATAATTAAATTGGCATGTTGTTTCATTTGAAGATCTTTAATAGATTCACAAATAGATGGATTTATACGAACAGAATTCTAAATAAAAGTAGATGACTTATTGAGAAAAATAGTCTGTAGAGCTTGACCCTACTTTAAGTGTATGATCCTGATCAGTTAATTTAATATATTGTGTACTATCCAAATTACACGACCAGCACAATTATTTTTAACACAACGCTACGTAACTTGACTTTTTTTATTTGCGCGACGATAACGAAAACCATCAAGAGAAAGTTGATTTTTATCTTTAGAAGATTTTACAATAGACATTTTTAAGGAGAAGTGGGTGTGTATATCAAATTTTAGATATTGATAGTATAGATAGCACTATGCTAGTAGAACGTTTGATACAAAATATTCGATCTGAACTGTGTATGGTTATGATCTGATACTGAGTCCCATTTCATCAAAGGTTGATAGTGTTATACCTTCATCTTCAATCCTTTGGCGGCAGTTTATAGAATTTCCATCTACGTACCCGTATCCTTGCTCAGAATTTAAACAGTTTTCATTTGAAATAAATCCCGAAATTGGTAAAAGAAAGTCACTATAATGTTGATCATAGCTCACCCAAGAGCTTATTTATCTCCAGTCGCTAATTTAGGTTGCTTCTGGAGACTGATCATTCATAGTAAACTATAATTTTATTGCAAATGAAACTGGCGCAATTCATATTGCGCGTTCTTTTTACTAGAACTAGTAATTGTAAAAAATATTCAGATCTTAAATTTATTTGCGCTTAGATAAATGGATTGTTCATCTAATCATTTCTCTAGAGATGCTCTATATTGTAGTTCATCACATTCGGTCAATGATGGCGTCTGTGTAATATGTCAAAATCATTATCGTCGTACAGTTATAACACCTTGTTCTCATTTATCTTGTTTTTGCTGCATAGCACAATGGTCAAGACGTCGTTGATCATGTCCGACTTGTCGACAACATCTAACAGAAAATGAACTAGCATTTATTTATACTCGCCCAGACAAAAACGGTTTGTATACAAATATTCATTGTATGTAGAAATCAATGTTTTGGATGCGTGGAATCGATCCCATTTGGAAAATGCAATGAACATACGTTACATTCTTGTCCATATCAGACAGTAAAATTTCATTATGAAAATTATACAATAGTTACGTTTAGAAAAGATTTACAACAACATGAGCAACAATGTGAGTATCATCAGTTACCATGTCCACAAGGTTGCGGATTTCTAATGACAAAATTCGATTTAGAAAAACATTCATGTACTGGAATATTCATAAACAATGCCAACGTATTAGAATAACGAACAAAAAACTTAAATCCAACGTATGAACAAAATGAGAAATTAAAATACGTTTTAAATAAACGATTACAATTGCTTCAAAAACGTTTGATAATAAATAATACAAACTATGTGTCAGTCTTCGAGTTAATTTCTTTTTTCAATTTTTTCGTGACAATAAGAACAATATCATTATTCGTCAACAACGTGATGATGAAAAAAATGTACATAATAATCTATTGTTTCAGATATATCATAATGAAGAATAACGAAAAAATTGAACAAACAACATGGAAAAAAATATTAAATAATTCATCAGGGACAACCGATGTGACTATACCTATTGATCCAGTAATAACACTTACTAATAACGCGAATACTAATGAAAACGAGAATGAACCGTCATACGTTTGTAATATGAATCATAATAACCAAACTCAAACCGTGTCGTTGGTTCCAAATCAAATATTATTCTATGCCAGACGTAAATTAATTAAAGTAGCTATCATTAGTGCGTACAAGTTGTTGGAGCAAAGTTTCGATTTATCTGTTTTATTTACATCTTTAGTAGTCAGTGCTCTATCGCAATCTAGTATATAAAAATTGTTGATTAATCAGTTTACTTCCTTTTCAATATTAAACTTGAGAAGTGATAGATAACTGTAGTTTCATTTTTTAGAATTATATATTTTATTCTATTGTTGCCCAGAGCAGCATTCTTCTGATGAATCTAAAGGATTTCTTTTTATAGTATTGTAGGTGGTTGGAACTTTTTATATAATTGTTGAAACCGCATTACAAGACCTGCATAAATGGAATAAAACTGATCATAATAATATCTCACCTATAAAAAGTCGCCGAAAATTCTTAGCTCCTGAATATAAATTTCAACATCTTTCTATATTAGAGTTGTTGAGAGGAGTTTCACAAAAATCTAATTTAATATGACACAGTTGACTATAGAAAAAAGTACAGAATGATGCAAAAAAGCACCCAGATCAAATATAATGGACACTTAATGTCTAATCCATGGTATGCAAAACACCTCAGCAGTAAAAAGGTCGTTAATAAGTGTCAAACCGTGTAAAAAGAACTGGTAAATAGTCTGTTGAGGACACGATTTTTGACCACTAACTCATTAAGCGATGAGATTTTTTCACCAACACGCCAGAAAAGATATTAGCTCTCTAACTTTATAATTCAGTAAACATAAACGTAATCCAACGTTGAAACTTGAGTAGTATGTAGTTCGTGTCTTTTTTGAGTGTTGGTAGTCGTTATCAAGTACCGATATGAATATTATTTGATCCTATACGATCAAATATATACACAACGTGACGCTCGCCTGCACTCATTCGGTTCCTTGACTTTAGGTACGCGCACACCTTACTCGATCGGCGTTCGCTAGAGAACTATCCACAATATATGTATGTACGTCCATCACACAATATTCAAATGTCTGCGTGTATGCAGAGATGCGCGCCGAGTCGCCGATGCCGCCATGCCGTTAAACTTTCGTCGTCGTCGAAGGCGGAAAGAACTTTTTTAAGTCGACGCTGCAGTCCCTGAAATGTTTTGAATTGATCCATTTGAACTAGTCTGATACCAGTCGGTAGCAGCATTCACGCATGTGTTCTTTCATGTGCCATTCTCCGTTTAGATTTTTTTAGTTATTCCACTTGTCAGTTCGTTTATTCAGGGTCAGTTTTAGTCAATTTTGAAAATTCGCCGCCGATAACCAGTTTTCGAGTAACTAACTTCGTTACTTTACTTGGTAGAGCAACGCCGAGTAACTAGTAACGTGCCATTCCAAGTAGCATCTAGAGCAAATGATAGTTTAGATCCATAAATAAGGTTCATGTATCGTGTCAGCAAAATATAGTTCAGCAGAACACTGGTAAGGATACTCACATTGTTCATTCAACTGTATCGTTCTTCTCACTATCACAATTAAAACCAGAAGATTCTGCTATAAGAGTTAGAGAAATTAAACTATTAGGTTTACTTATATCATATAACCTAAAATGAACACCGTATGGCAAGAAAATGATGGTGCGTTGTTGAGAGCAGTCTCATATTCAATCAATGAAAATTTTACCTCACCTCTCTTATGTGATGCTGTCAAAAAACAAAATTTGAAGATTCATTACAGGAAAAAAAAGGTTAACTTTTAATTTCTGAAACTTTGTTCAAATTCATATAGTAGATTTTTAAGCTTAGCTGATAAGGTTCTGTTCTTATACAGTATGACAAAAATGTTAAATATTTAAATTTTAAGAAAAAACAACTTTAACACAGTATCTCTCTACTTACATTTTTCTACAAGCTGAAGATATCATCATCTTACAGACTACGCAAACGGATTCAATGAAAATAACACATTTAATTAATTTAATATAAATAATAATATTAACAACGGCGCGTTTTTATTATTAAAAATTGGATTTGTGAAACATTCTAAATTTTTGGCTGAACAATAACTGACCATACGAAATTATTGTTTTAGCTTAAATACAATTCATCTGTATATTAGTCACTTTACTGTATACTAATTTCTGATTCAAATTCTGTTCGTTAGATTAAAAGAAATCAATGTCAAATGAAAATCAACTTTATTATTTTATCTTTATGTTAATAGTATCGTTACATATAACACAACAAAACTATAGCAATAATAGTTCATTGAAAATAATTGATCGTAGTGCAATGAAAACATCATCATCAGTGGGAGTATCAATGAACGTTATTATTGCTCTGATGGGATGTATCATATTTGCAACATTATCCATTATATTGATTGCGTTACTCGCTAAACATCGTATTAATCGTTTCAAAACAAGATTTTGTGGTTCCCGTGATCCATGTGCAAATCAATCGGTTGTACATCGATTTCATCCAGAAATATTACTTCGACCCTCTGTATTGGAATTGTACAATAAAGAAATTGAGCAACGTAAAGAGAAAAAGCAGTTTAATATGTTTGATAATGCCCTACTACATTATACTGTACCAAAAACTCATAGCGACAAAGCAACTAAACAACTGAAACTAGTTTCTGTAGTAGAAACACCATCAAGATCCCCATCCATGACAGAACGAGAAACAAAATCGACAAAAACAAACTCACAGCAGCATTTCGGACTTAAAAATCTTGATTATCTTGTGGGCTCTACTCAAACTTTTGCGGCAACAACCGATCGTATTTATAGAAAATCTATACCACCTTATCAGCGGAGACAATCAAATACAACATTATGTATAGGTAGCTAATTTCCTATTTTATCTTTGAAAAAAAAGCAATTCTCTCTATTCCGCGCCCGTGTTATAAATAAAATTTCACAGTGGATTATATGCTAGCTTATATTCTTTTTTGTAGATTAGCCAATGAGAGTCTCACCGACCGTTTTTCTCAATTTTCAATTCTGCAAAGTGAGTCTAATAGGAAAAGGTTCAAATTTTTTAAATTCTCTTGAAAAAATCGATCTTTTGCACAAAACCTCGGTAAAAATCACTTATTCAACAAAACAAGGTATACCGAAAAATTCAGCAAGAAATTTTCTACAATATGGTGTTGTTTTTTAATGACAGACAATGATTGTTTTAGATGAAATCAGAGCGAAAAAGAGTCTTTAAAAAAGGTCATTTTCTCCTATGTTTCGGCCATCTTAGCGACAAACAGTATTCCCTAGTTCTTCAGGTAAACAAAGTAGCAGATTTATTTGTGCGTTACGCAGTCTAACAGAGCGCGAAATTCTGCATTTTTTGATCTATAAACTAATGATTTGAACTTTGAATTTTATACTGGAATAGTCAAGCCTTTTTTTTAGTGCCAGAAACTTCGGTAGACTTGAAAGTTTATGTATTAAACTCACTAGCAATTGAAATGAATTTCCTTCAACTAAACTCTTTTGTAAAGCATGAAATTCTTCACCGTTTAACTGTAATAAAATCATTTTAAATCCTTTTGTACTCATTATAAGCAACTAAAAACAGAGCGCAGTTTGCACTTTAAAAGTACTTGGAATTTTGGAAAATTTGCAGCTTTTCTTGCTAGACCTACTGTACCAAACATGAAAAATGAATATACAACCTTGTAGAAAATTAAATTATGTATCGTTTGGTATAGTAAGAATTTTTTTTCTTGAAACGATTCGTAAATTCATCTTTCTAGAAATCATTTCAGAACTTGTGGGACACCCTTTATACTTCAGAATCGTTCTGATTCCGTTTTTTCATCGATAGAAAAGTACAATCAACGTTAACTTTGAAGGTTTCAACGAATACGTTATACCCAGATTACACCGGAGAGATGCTATTATATTTTGTTGTGGTAATGCACTCGAAACATTTTTGGTACTGTACTATGATGATGTTCGGTGGTGTGAAATTATGTGTTGCCGAGAGAACTAGGGATTTTCTTTTCTTTTACTTACTTCAGAGATAATTCCTGTAATCTACAGTAAAACGGCGCAGAGCACTTTGTACCCTTAACGCTACTGGCTTTTGCTTCAAATGTCAAAAAAAATGAAAGCATGAGAGACCTAAATCTAATTGAAAGGATATTTCGCGAGTTTGAATATAAATTTTGGCAGTAATAACGATAAGCTTAACCTTTCTTTCAAGATCTTTTCCTGGAACTCGAAAACTGGTGGTATTTTATTCGATTAACTGCACGAACAGTATTACTAAACTTACTGTAGTTTAACAGCTTCAAACTTCCAATATGATGTGACTTCCGCCGTTTGAGCACAACTTATAGCAAAACTGTATTTAATTTTCATCATACAAAAAAGAAGCAGCGAAAACATGAAAATAATTTCCAAAAAAAAACAATCAAATTTCATTAGAGAAAATGTCAAAAACCGTTTCGAACGCGAAAGGAGAAATGACATTAGAAAGAGATATAAAGCTTTGAATATATCATTATTACTATACAAAAATTCAAGCCTTTTTTTTCAGCATACTAATTAACAACAAGACAAAGCACACACACAACACACTTATTTAAATAGATTTGTTCGACTAAAACCAACAAGAGACAACGAAATAATTAATATCTTTTTTTTTTGAGAAAATAGATTATATTAATATTATAACACAAACCACTAGATTGATATATATTAGCTAATAATACAATCTTTTTTTCTTCTATGTTTTTTCTGTTGTTGTTGTTGATTTTTTCTGGCTCCTTGATTTGATGTTGTCGCATGTGTTTGTTGGAAACAATCGTCAACGTAACTTATTTTCACTCCAATATTTGCTTTTTTCACACGATTACCATTTATATCATATTGATTATAAATATTGTCGAAATCATCGTTTTCATCCGATGATGAACTCGAACTTGAACAAGAATATTCATTAAGTACTTTTGAATGATGCCGCTGATGACGGTAGTTTTGTGGTGGTGAATATTTTTTTCGTTGATGGGAACTACGACAACTCGTTGGTGAATACTGCTGTTGTTCATCTTCGAAACGAACGTGATGCTGTTTTGTTGTCGATGAGGGAAAACGACTTGATCCATTTAGTGATCGTGATCGTGGAAATTGATTAATTGACGATGAATAATGTACAGATTTTGGTCTCGAGATAGGATACATTATTTCATTTGAATCAAAATGTTTGATACGAGATGATGATCGAGAATGTCGATTATTATGATAATTATTTGAGTTTTGATCGGTTAACGTTTCTTGAGAATACGTCAATGTAGTGATGTCATTATCATTGTTCGTACGATATTTGTTCTGTTGTTGTTGCTCAATTAGTGTTTTTCGACGTAAATCTGGTAATGACGAACGTGATGATTTAGAACTTGAATTACCGTTCGTCTTTGTTGTACTATAACGTGCGATTTCCAAAGCGGCACCACCACGATCTAGTTGATCGAGATTTAAATCATTATAAAATGTTATCGGCTCACGTGAACGACTTTTTGACATGTTCATCATCTGTTGTCGATCACCATGATTATTGATATGATGTTGTTGTTGTTGTGATTGGAATTGTAAAAACACTTGTGGTTTGCCAATATAACCATTATTTCTGAAAAAAATGATAGTATATTCCATTTTTTGACAAAATGATTTCCGTATTCAACTTACATATTATTCGTTTGTCGTCTAGCTGCTGTTCCATCCGACATATAGCCGTTTGACAACTCTCGTTTATGCGTTAAAGATGGTCCATCTGAGACATAACCGGTTGATGTATGATCATTAATGTACCTTCCAGAATTATTTGTTATTGATGTTGATTGTTTCGATGGTTGAGTGCGATAGGAGGACGACGATGTACCACCATTTCTTAAACTACTCTTCAATTGTCGCTCACCAATCGTCTTGTCATCTAATGATGAAAAATTTGTTCTCAATGGTTGTTGTTTTTGTTGTAATAATGTTGGTAATGGCTGTGAATGTTCTGAAAGTTTTGCATGTGTATTAAAGGTCGGTATAATATCGGGACCATTGTCTGTTATATATCCATTATTAATATGTGTTGGTTTTGATGATGATGTACGTTGTCGAGCACATTCGTTTGAACAATAGAGTGCGCCAAATTTTGGAAAAAATCCACGATTTTGTAACGGTATACGACATGTATAACAATAGAAACATTGATCTGTTGCATGCCAATGTTGACTTTCATGTGCCATTTGTGGTTGATCGGTTTGAATTTGTTCACCACAAGTATCACAATATTCAGCATACATAGTCTCAAAACAATTTAAACAATATGGATGATGACTTCTCATTACATAGCGTTCACCACCCAAACGTTTTGAACAATTGTTACAGCAAAAATGATCCATGTGCCAAGAATAACCTTCAGCTTCCGTGCATTCGTCAGAAAATATTATCTAAACAATCAAATAATAATATTATTTTCAAAAAATTTTTAAATTTTAGTAGAAAACGTTCATAAAGAATTCAGTCAAACGGATATTTTTCTTCTAAATACGGTTATACTCTCAAGCCTTGTAATAACCAAAGGTTGAAATAAAAACTATGGGAATTAATCACATAGTCAAACATCCAACGACATTGAACTTTTCAACTATTCCTGACATATACGATTTATTCGTTAAACTTATAAGTATAGGACAAAACTTGAAACGTAAGTGATAGGATCTTCTATCCATTTTGAGTACAGTCATCATGCTAAAATGATGAATCCAATCAAAGCTAAATCCGTCTTCAACTGACATGTCATTCTCCGGCTTGCTAATTTCGGTTTTTTGAAATTCAGTTTGTGATAGAGGGCCGTCTACCTACAACACGCTCAGTTTCTCATCAAAAGCTTAACATTGTAAACATAACTAGTACATTTTGTAAAAAGAGACAACAATCGTTTGAACATTGTATAGACAACATATAGTAAATAGAATGTCGTCTTTGCTTTGTTATATACACACACAATTTTTTTTTCAACGTATTAAATGACAAGTATCAGTTCTCTCGTGTCTTAAATGTTGAAAAAAGATCACTTAATTGAGACCAAAAATGTATATATATATGCGAGGAGAGAGAGAGAGAGACAACGATGTATTATTTGCATTACGCGTTTGTATTCAAAAAAAGGAGTAAACAATGACCCGAACAACAGTGAAATAATAATATAAATACAAAACAGTTGGTCTGTCATCACTCTTTTTCCATGCTCATTCTGAATACTTTATTATGCAAGACTATATTAACATCGTACTACGTTTATTGATCTCATACTATCTAAGCAAATCATAAAAAGAATTTTTTTCTGAGTTACAATTTGGTCAATCTGTTAAATGTTTAATCAAAATAGTGCTTCTTATATAAAAAATTTATTTGAAATAAAAAATGTCTTACTTCATCACACGCTGAACATCTTGGTTTGTACAATTCAGCATGATGTCGTCCACAATATAAATCACCATCTTTGTAATAATAAATTAAATTGGCCAAAAATTCTTTGCATGTTTTACACGAAAAACATTGTGGATGCCAATAACCATTTCGACCTCCACGTTCAGCATGAACACCAATAGAACCCGATTCAATTGGCTTCTCACACTAAATAGAAAAAAGAAATCAAATTTTTGAAATTGATACGTTTATATATGTTTATGTTTGTGATGATGCAAGTGGAGACAACAGTCTTTCATCAATAATCACACTTGTTACTGATTACGAGTAATATAAACAGAAAATACTTATATTTCAAACGGACAACATCGTGTATCAATCAACATCACTACTTTCAAAATAATCTTTAATTTTATGAATGCTTTCCTCACGATCTATCGAAGGTAGAGCAAGTAAAGTTTGAGTATTTTCTGTGAAATCGCATGTTAATGCATTCAAAGTGGATGTTTGTCCATCCACTTCTGTAGTAGAGTCCATCGCCTAATCTATTCTAAAAAGATGAATTTAGGATTTAAATGCGAGTTGGCTATTGTAAACCACATATTTTTCACTTCGGACTGAATTTTTGTATTAAATAGTTATAATTTCGTATTAATAGTTGTTTTAATTATTAATTAATTATTTATAATTTTACATTAATAGTTATTAAATCTTGATGACCCATTTTCAACTAAGAGTTAGTCATATATGGTAGATGTTATTAGCAATTTTGAAGATGGACACTACCGATCTAAATATATCTTGGTAACCAAATATTTAGTACTGATCTATTTAACTCTCTTATGTAAAATCTGTAAAAAAATCATGATCTAATACACATATTTCTCAACCGTACAATCTTCTTTTTTCTGGAAAACTCTTCGTGATTTGAATTAGACGAACTTTTAACATAATATATGAATCTCTACTCTTCAATCTTTAAAACGTCGGTTAAAGTTCCAATTCAAGATCTAGTTAAAATATACTCTGTTCTCTACTTATTTATTATTTTCATTGGATTTTTTTCATGTCTCAGCTGTATTTATGAACTTCTTTTTTAAATTTTACTATTTCGCATATTTCTTTTTCATGTGTCTTACATTATTGGTTAAATAAATGAAGTCAAGTCAAATCACTCAACTACGATCACTATAAAAATCAGATTTAGATATTTCTTCGCCTGTTTGTTTTTAATTTAAAAGCAAAATGAATACCAATTGACTGCACATTCATTGCTCCATTATAATACCATTACAAGTGATCCTTCGAATGAAGCTGATGAACTTTTCAGAAGTTTGATTGATTGAATGACAGCTGCATCACATACACAAAAACATGAAGTCATAACTATTAACTCTTGTGTGTACTATAATTAACTTCTTTTTCTTTATTTTTGTCTTACTTTATGAGATAGTGTATGTATCTTACATCATATCTCTTACACAAAACATTATCTTTTATTTTTGATTGAAAACAATTTTTTTAACATACACATACACAGATGAACAAGTAATAAATCTTTTGTATGATTTCGAAAAAGGCAAGACAGATATATCATCGTCATCAACAATAATAATAATAAAGATAGATATCTACATTTTGTCGTCTACTATTTGTTACAAACTAGTACAGTACATTACGTGAGAAAAAATTTATTCATTTATTATTGACTACTAGTTATATTATGATGTACAAACATAAGAATGATAATATTCAATGGGAAGAATTTTTTCTTACCAAATAATATCTGCTTTCACTCGAGTAGACAATTTTTTTTTTTTTTTTTGTAGAACTGATTACAAAATTATCACGTCTTGTAGTTGCTTTAATAAGACGGATATTAACGTTTTTTAGAGCGAGAAGAAAAAATGATCAATAATCTATTTTTGAATTTTGTTGTTATCAACTGAATGTAATTGTTGCAGTTTTCTTGATTAATGCAACATATTGACAGGTGTTATGCATATACATACAGAGCGGAACGAAAAAAAACAAAGGAAACAAAGTAAAACATAAGGAATAGATAAATGAACACTATAATGTGTTTAAGAGAAGAACAATCTGACACACGCACCCTAGCATCTAGTTATAGAAAGAGTAGATTTCACTAATAAATACAAAACAGAATGAATAACATGAAAATACACTGTGTAAGATCATAAAGAAAGCATTTTTGTTAGTTCATGCAATAAGATAATCGTCATTAGTTTAGAGTCTGGTATAATGACTTGAAATTGCATGTGAATATAGTTCTTATCGATCACATTACTCAAGTGGTTTTTGATGCAAGGATTATGTTCATCACCCTTAGATCGAACACTTATGACGACTACTATCAAATCGACTATGTGTGATGTTTAAATGCGTGCAAATATTCGAAAGATGAATTGAAGACAATAGAAATATGTTAATATTACGACTTCTAATATATATTTAAGCTCTTCATATCAGTATAACTGTAGTACTGGGTAAAAAAAACAAGTTTCTTGAAAAAATTATCCACTAATATAATAATAATATATGCTCGTAGCGAGAAGAGTGTGCTTAGGAGTTAAACGATTGTGCTTCAGGGACTGTCATTTGTTATCACTAAATAAATTGTATCAATATCGATAATTTTTTTCTTTTTTCTCAATATACACGCTTAACAATAACAAAAGAAACAATAACCTCATACACTTCCATTTGTATTAGTTTATCCGAACATAGTGTTAATTGGGAGTTATGGTGAAGGTTGTGTGTAAATGATCATATAATAACGATTATAAAACACACGCACATATGTTATACTGGTCAATATACGAAATAACATATAACACGATCAGTGTAGGGGTTAAAGGAGTTGAATAGATCAAAATAACAACTATCACCACAACAGACGAGATAAAATTTGATAGATGATAATGATGATATATATAAATAAATAAAAACTCACCCCACAACAAGTCAATGATGGTTGCGTTAATGATATTTGTTTGGCGGTACCACGCCCAAGTGCTGATTGTCGCTGTTGTTCACTAAATATTTTCAATTCATTTTTTTCTTCTTCAGTCAAATGTCGACAATATTTTGGATCAGAATCGTGCGGTGGTAACTGTTCTTCTAATTTTTTCTAAAAAAATTACGAAACTTTTGAAGATAAGAAAAAAAAATTAAATATAATAAACGCACTGTCCGATATTTCTCGCCAATCGAATTGATATATGGCACTTTTTCTTCTGGTAAACATTTGAAAAATTGTCTAACCTAAAATAACGATAAGATAGGATGAATCTAGGACAAGAGTTGAGAACAAGTCATAGGTTTCTCCGAGTAAATATCTTTTTATGACTACATTAATCATGCTAAAGTGATTCATAGTGTCTTTATAAAAAAAAACGGACAAGAAAACACTTTTGACGGACTTAAGTAATTAGTCATCTGTTAATTGATACATATTTGAGTTGAGCTTTGTTCAGTTTATTATTTTCACTTCTTTTTCTTCTATGTACATATTTTCTTATAAACAACAACGAACATTTTGTATACATACACACACAGCGAAAGTGTTATACATACAACTTAACAAATATATTCCTATGTGGTTGATTAGATATAATGAAAAACAAAATAGGTCAAGTGCAGCATATCCACTTGTAATCACCTACAGTCTATCTAAATTGAACCTTATTAGTATGCTGGTATGTGTCTGTTAAAGCATGTGAGTGAGAATAGTTTAAAAAATACTATAAACAAAATCATCGTTACGTGTAGGAATATACCTAAATATCCAACACTTACTTGTTCTGCTTTTAAACCAGGTGGTGCCCATGCATATTCTTCAATTGCACATCCTGAATCGTCATCCGACGTTGACGAACGAGATTTCGGTATTGCTGCATGTAACATGGTATTCATCGATTTTGTTCGTGATAATGATGTTACATCGAAACAGAAATGAATTGTTCTAAAGCAAGAAAAAAAAACGAAGCAGTTTAGTGAAGGATCACTGTTTATAAAACAAGTGAGATTATGAGAAAAATACTATAGTATCATTCTTCAATAAAATACAATTCATCATTCTCTTGTCTATATATATAAAAGATAGAGAGATAGAGAGTTGAGTTAAAAAATATTACAAATACACTTTAAAGATAACAAAGTCAACTTCATGTTTAATGGGACGAATAAACTAATTTTCATTATAAGTCGCAATATTATTCTGAATAAAATTTTGAATTTTCTGAAGATCGAAAACTTGATCCAAACATCGTTTTGTCGGTTTCTTTAAGAGTTTTTCACTGTAATCATTCTGCTTCATTTCAAATACCCCAACGCTTATGAGGATGTTAAGGATTAATCTCCTAAATGTAAGGAACTTGCTAATCAAAGGATTGTTCAGCATCTTTTTAGTTCTAACCACAAGATTTTTTGACTTCAGAAGCATGAAAGTAGCGCTAAGTTTACACTTTTAACAGTTCCCAACAAAAAGAAAGAGCTATTAAACGTTCGGTATTAAGAAGTTTAGATGTTTTTTAATAAATCCTTGTATTGAGTATCGATTTCACTAAACTCGCTAGACTTTTCAATTTCTTGCAATTTATACACTCCCTTTTTTTTTCTTCATACTACAAGATCTTAGAAAAAGTACGATATGCTTCACTAGGTATGTAACAAAATGCCGCAAGTAAGGCTGACTTTTGTTTTTACTTCTTTGGAAGGATACACAAAAATTTTCCTCGTGTTTAAAAATAACAGGTATACATGTTCAGTGCATTTCAATTACTAAAGTCAATGTTAAAGGTGTTATAAAGCTTTTTACTTTAAGTACTCGTTTGCATTTGATTAGATACAAAAAATGTTTGGATATACGTGACACGTATATTTAAACATACTCTATTTACCTTATCATATATAATTTAAAATCTCCAAAACAACTAAAAAGATACTTGATTGTCATTTAATTAAAAAATGTTCTCTTTCAAAATACGAAAATCACAAGATTATAGTCATTCTTCTTGCTTTTATATAGATAGTAACGAAGGTGAATGAAACATATAAAAAGAAAAAGGAAAATTTGTATGTTTGATATCTATCTATCGCTTAAATTGGATTATATATTCATGGTAAATACTATTGAGTGACTCAGTCATGTTCAATTTGTAATATAAAAAAAAAAAAAAAAAATGCGTTGTGTTTTAACACACTATGTTCAAAGAGAACTAAATATAAATCGATCATTCACTAAACAATTTTCGAAGTAAAGATGATTAATTTTGATAGACAATTTTGAACGTGCTAAACAACAAGTCATTCTCTAATGTGTGAACAGAGAAAAGTTAAAAACCTTAATTGACATCGAGCACATAACCAATCTCAAATTATACTGAGAACTGTAATCATTGTTGCAGATCTCACACTAAGACTATCCGACAAAATTCTTGAACGTAGTTGTGACTGATGTATAAATGAAAAATGGCACTATTAGACTAATAAAGCTGTAATTTTCCTATAATGCTCAATTAATTGTTAAAATCTTTTGCAAAAATAATACTAATACAGTGTTTTGATGCATTATAGATAATTAAGCGTTAAAATCGACACATTTTTCGAAATAATTTGATAAATGAGATTAGTAATATGTGTATTTATGAAAATCACTCGGAAGTAACACTATATGACACCATAAAAGTTGTAACAGCAAATCTTAGCTATATTTTAATAGGCACATAATGTCATGTTAACTGTTTCACCTCAAACACTAAAATGATGTAATCAATTCTAAACATGTGTTCTATTATGCATTTCCTCTACGGAATAATTATATTGTATACATACAATCTCTAAATCTTTTCAATTCTCTGTAAACATAATTGCCTTTGAGATTCTTTTTTTTATGAAAATTAAAGTACCATTAGAACGTAATCAATATCTGATACCCTTTCAAGAGCTGTGTAGATGTTCGTTTCCATCTTAAAAAAAAGGTGATATTAATTGAAATAAAGAACACTATTTCTGAGGCGATATTTTGAACATACGCATAGAAGACTTATCAGTAATTGTGTATTTATTGGTTTCTTCTCTTTATTCACTACACGACTTCATACATGCGAGAAAGCGGCACAACACAAAAAAAGTTTTTGTAATCATGACTAACTAATTAATCACAATACCACATGGAACTACTCTGATATACTGTTTGCTGAACATTTGCGTGCTATTATAGCCATACATATAAAATCATTTTTAATAAAAAATGACGGTAATATTACTTCTCATTAAAATGACTGGCTGCCGTTCGAATAATACAGAAGAGAAAAAACAAAACAAACAAAGACTGACCGATTTGTCCGACCAAAACGGTTCGTTGTGAACTCAAAGAACTTTATTCTTCTCGAATACAAACGGAAGTAAAATAATTTTAGTATTTTTCAACTATCGAAAACCCCAAAATTTTCTACGAATGTAGGCACTTATACATAAAAAATGAACACTGGAAATACCGAACTGATTGTATTACTTCCATCATTGTACAGTATATAGACTCTCAGTAAATTTAGCTTTGTAGTTTACTGAAGATCTAAGATCGAATGTCCGTATTCGTAGAAAACCTGATCTTTGTGTTTCTGCTATTTTTAGTTTTAGAAAACTATAATGGATACATATCCGCTTATAACATCAAGAAATTCAGTTTAAATCAAAAGCCACTCATCATACAGTGAGGGTTTTTCACATGATCTATCTGCTCAAGAATAAATTATTCAAGCAAAAAACGGCTTACAACTGTATAATTGTGAGATCAAGCAGTAGTGAATGAACATCCCTAACATAGTGAGCAATGAAAATAGGAAGCTAAACACTATCAATATATTAAAGTAAAACGGAAACTTTCGATAATCGAAAACGGAGGCACTGACTTTATGTGAGCAAGAATTAAAGGAAATCTTTCTCCAATACGCAGTGTGAGCAACAACAATCATACAAGAACACAACAAAGGAAAATGTGTAGTGAAGTACGAGCTATGGTACAATACAATGTGCTGTAGATGATAATGGATAAACAGATGTGTTTTCCTCTTAGCAAAGAAACTTTAAACGATAAAGAAGTAAATATTTCCGTTAAAGAGACAATGATATTCTAAAAGTCGCAAGTGAAAAAACAGACGATCAATAAATGTGATTTCTTACCGGATAGTTACAGCATGCTGTGAATTATATTTCGTGTGTATTTTAGTTTATAGAAATGTGTGAATGGCTAGTTGTATACGACAACAAACAAAGACAACAATGGACAATGACGATAGAACTATATTCGTTCGTTCATGATCGAAAGTCCGCGTCTGCGCCTACGAATACATATGTTCAACAGAGAAAAAAATCTCTAAAATCTATCATTTTTTTTTCTTCTTTTCCATTCTCTTCTTCTTATTCTGTACAACTAACGGCTTTTTTTTCAAATATATAGAGTGTATACACTATACATTTCTTAAGGGAAGAAATACTATAGAGACCATCATCACCACAGAGCGTCGCGTTATGTGCCAAACAAAAATGTGCAATGCATATATATATATATATATATACAATGCATTTTCATTTCCCTTTCGTTGATTTTTTTCTTTGAAGTTTTTGATTTTAGTTTTCGCGTTCTAACAACTCGAAGGTATACGTATATAAATTGAGAGTGTCCATTTTCAAATTTTTTTACATATTAAGATGGATACCATACTCATACATATTGCTTAATATACGACAATCAAACAGCTGCAGAGAACAGACAGATAGGGTTTGTTTCGATATTTGTTGTAATTGAAAGAAGCTTTGATATTGAAAAAGCGTGATAAATACGCCTATTTGGAAATTGCTTATCACTCTATGTGTCTGGATGATTGTCGTTTTACGTCATATAGATGAAAGATGGAAAAAACATCAAATAGAGAAGTATGTGTCTTAAGATATTCAAAAAAGTTTCCAAAACTAAGTCGGATTATTAACGAACAAAAAAAAAGAAGTAGATCCTTGAAAAAAGCAATTTAAACGTTTTTCTCTTACCGATTCTTCAAATGATATACATCTCATTACAGATGCAAATAAAAAGTAAATTTCTATTATAATAGAGATGATCGAGTGTTAGAGTGTGTGCGTTAGCTGCTTTTCTTTTCTTGCATATTGCTTGCTCTCTCAATGTCGAAGAAATAAGATGCACGTACTTACAAGCCATTTATTTATTCGTTGTTAAGAAATTTAAATAAAATTAATATATGAAATTTTATTATTAAAACTATCTTATTCAAGAATTTCATAAAAATTAGTTTTCATGGCTTCTTTTGTGTCTCTTTTTCTTTCATGAAATAAAAAAATGTGAACAATAAAAATTTTATAAAACATATATTTGCCATTCATCAGTGTTATCATCCATTGTCCAATAAAAAAATATATATAAAGCGATTAGCGTATTAATGAATAGATATATTAATCTGTAACAGTTAGAGTTGATCTATATCATGTTATCCTTGACTCGGCAATGTTATTAACTAATTGAAATTTATTTTTCGATGTTTCTTTTGGCAAAACGCTCAATTTTGATTAAATTATGTGCAGTCTACACCTTGTTCGTGAAGAGAAAATATTGTCATTTTCTTTATCTAGAAGAACTGAGATAACACAACATACACGTCCCATCTCGAATCTTCAAATTAAGCGTTCGATCACTGCGACAATCAAATAATCTGACGAGTCTTAAAAACAATTTGTCACATGGACTATAAATATTCTGGTACAACCACACCAATTTTTTCCCATTTTTGAATGACGTTGAACACTTAACAGGTTTGAAACGACAGTTTTTTTCACTAATATTTACAGGTTGTATGAAACAATTCTTATCCCATTTTTAACAGAATCTTGTAGGCCAAGAATGAAAATTAATGTACACATTTCCCAACAGCCTGGGAGACGACTAAAAGAAGTTTTTTTTGATATGTAAGACTAATAAAAAATGCCTCACATAATACTGTATAAGTCAGCTAAATCTGTGTGCTATTTTTTTGGAGCTGTGTAGATGAAATCAAATCTAACCTGTAGGCTATGAATTGAAATATTTTCTAGTTATACATAGAAATCAGTGGACTCAAACTATCTTTGACTCGATCTCGGTCCCAGATCAAATAGAAAAGAACGAAAAAACAACCTTTTTAAGTGTTGATAAAAACAACAAATTTTGGTCTTCAAAGCTAAAAGGTGAGAACGTCCAAAATAGTTTGACTCCAGTCACGGTCTAGAAAAATGCTCTAATGACATCGTAGAGAATATAACTTCTTTTTTTGTACAGATTCTGGTGTTTTTTTGCTGAGTGGATTTTTTAAGATATTCTCTACAAATTATATTTTAAGTTAGACTAAACTGAGACTAAAAGCTTTCAGATTAAAACCGTTATTTATAATTTATAATTCACAGCAACTTATAAATTAGTGTGCACGTGGAAATTGCTCATTCAGGATTAGTACCAAAGCTAAGGATTCAGATTTAGTCTTATTTCGTGATTCATGTGTTGTACAAGTCAATAAAACTGATGTATAGTTCGTTATTTATTGATTTCCAATGTCGCATCAGATTATTTACTTTTAAAAAGTATGTGCATAATTATCTGTCTATAAATTGTTTATAGATTAATTAATTTTTTTTTAATCACATTGGATTGTTGACAAGATATTTCTATACTGTGATACACAGAAATCATCTAAAACAAACGTTAAAAAATACCATCTGGAGGCAGAGGGGATCGAACTCTCGACCTCTCGTATGCGAAACGAGCGCTCTACCACTGAGCTATGCCCCCATCAAAAGACTTGAGAAGAAAAACGGCTAAAAGAATAATGAGTTAATAGATAATTGTGTCCGTAGTGTTTAGTA